GCATCATTTTTATAAATGGCCGCACGAATTTCGACGAGGAAGCGTGAAGTGGCCGGTCGAGCATTGCTAATGCTAAACTCGCAGAGAAAATAGATGAAAAGATTCACGAAATCCACCATTTCGGAGTTTCCTCAAATTTCACGAACTTTGTTGTTTGATGTCGTGATCACAAGTTTTGTGCCAAATGGCTGCCAAAACTCTTGTCAGAAGACCACAAAAAGCAGCTCATGGCAGTAACTTTGACATTTCTCGAGGCGTACCACGAACAGTGAATCACTTCTCGATCTTGCCGTAACAGGAGACGAGGCTTGGTAAAGTTTGCCACTCGCGAGACACTTGTGTGTGTGGCTTGCAACATAGCGCTTCGACGATGACGAGGAACTGCATGCACGCGTCCGTGCATGGTTGAAGTCTCAGGCGGCAACTTTCTATGACAATGCGATTAACAAGCCCGTGTACCATTATGATAAGTGTCTTAATTTATACGGAGATTATGTAGAAAAATAGCTGAATAATGTGCCTTTCAAATGTAAGTGATAAGAAATTTTTACTTTCATTTATTTTTATTCTAAAATGCAACTTACCTTCTGAATAGCCTATGTTTATGCGTGCTTCTTTAAACATGTTCAAGATATAAAAGTAATATATTAAAATCACAAAATTCCAGTGCCATTTTGGCATCAAAACCAATGAAGCATATCTTCCCCATGGCACTTTTGGGAAAATTCTTAGCGAAGCCTTTCTCCCATTTTGATGAGAGGACAGAGAAAAAGCCATTTCATCGCAAAAACTAGCCATTCACGAAAGTACAGGGTTCTTGTGATGCTATTCAATAGGAAAAAAAAAACTCTTTCACGCTTACATATTCATAGCAGAATAGAACTTGAAGTTTATTAATATAAATCTACGAGTCGTAGGAGAGAGGGACAATGGAATAACTTAATGTTATGCTTAAATGCCGCTCATAAAACGGAAGCTTCAAGGCATATATTTAACATTTAGGTAACAACTTAATTTAATATTCTGTTTATCGAATTGGGTTACTAATTATTTCAATAAATATCTTTTGGTGTCTATCCTAGACTGACCGTCGGTTCATTTTGAACAGTTTGAATTGTTTTAAAATGTTGACTCCACAGAACCACCTTGATAAGGCTGAACAGCGGGATCAGGAGACATGCTAAGCAGGGGATCCTTCTGGCAGATAAGATGGTTAAATCATGATTAGAAACAGTTTCTGCTCAAACAATCAAATTCTGCTAAAACAAATTAAACTTTCTTAAATACTTACTTCTTCCAGAATCAGATATTGTGCTGAAAGTTTGAAAGATGCTATAAAAATCTAGTTAATTTACGTGTCCTTGGCTACTAGAACTTTTATGGAAGTGTCTATCGACTATTCACTAGATATTAAATCAATACAGTAAAAGATGGTCTTCCTATAGCTTTAAAATATAAGTCCAAAGAGAGATTAAAATACACTTTTATTCACTCAAAGAAACACTCAACGGTCCCTTCTCGGATTTACAAGCCTCCACTTGGGCTTTAACTTAAGATACAAAATAAGAAACTAAACTAATTCTAATTATCTAAACTTCAGACGAAGCTGTACAAAGATAGCAAACCGATTTAGCCCGTAATTAAACTTACCAGCTATTCAAATACTAACAGGCACGTAAAACTATGGCACGTACTTAATAAGATAGGCTTAAAGCAATGACGTGGACCGAAGGCAGAACACGCTGTACTGAAAAATTCTGAGATATTCTCCGGAAGTGACTGAACTTCCCATTAAATGCTGGTTCTACCTTATTTACATAAAACGCGACACTGAAATCTCATTCTGTCAGGGAGTTGTAAGCGGAAAACAAGAATTTAAAGGAAAGGGTTTTAAAATTAAAAAATAACTATTAGAAAATTTGAATAATTCCGACAATGCATTACGTCTGTTTGACCAGCACGAACTATGCTGTCTCAGATAGTGTTACCTCACACTTTTTTTGATAAAAATAAACGGTAAATTCTATATCAGCCAAATTTAGTCTCTGAAAATTTAACGCGAAAAATAATTTTTTAAAATTTTGAGCACAGCTGAATAAGTCCTTTCAAGGGACCCAGTTATCACACATGCTTCTCGATGTTGCTTACAGCATAAAAAATGACTCAAAGAAACAGAAGATTTTGCAACGGAATTTCTTAAATGCTGTATTAATGCATAATGCTGTAGCTTAGAAATAATACCAGAATGATATGAAAACTGATGTAATTAAGAATTACAAGAACAAAATAAAGCAATTATAATTCGCTAACGATACCGTTACTGACTTTGCCAACTACAATGAAAATGTCAAACATGATGTATTTGATGATGATTGCTCTCCTAGACCGTATATTATCCAATTCTTCTGGAATTATTTTTCAAACATATAAGTCTCGTATCTTCTTCAGTCGGTTTATTTCTCATTTTCTATCTTGGTTGCTCTAAGGGAGGCGAATAAGCCATTTATTTACTTCGAGGTAAAACCACGCGCATCTTTCTTTATCAGTAGGCTTGCCATACCTACGATCAATGTTTTTTTCTTATTTTCATCCCATCAGGTATATATATATGGGTAGGTACGTATGCATATGGCCATATGGGCCATACCATATGGGTAGGTATACGTATGCATATGGCCTTATTTTGCCAGCTTAGGTACATGAAAGAAACTTCTCTTATTTGCGCTAAACTCATAGATATAAGATGTAACATTGAAGCACTTTTCAATTTGAAGATTAACATTCTCGATCTAAAATTGCTGGAGGAACTTTCACTTTTTTTCAGTGAGTGTTGCATTACGAGAATACTTCCCTCTGTTGGAACGTGAACTAGGAATTTTGTAATGACAAGTGATGTTACCTAGTTAATTATTTGGGGTTTGTAATCAACTGTGGTTAATTCTCTTTCATCCACATTGTATGTCTCATTTGAGATTGATTTGACCTTCGATTTGTCGAAAACTACAACGAAAAACGTAAAAATTACCAGTGAGCTGTGAATAAGAATACTACCAGGAGGAAGTACGACAAACTCCCGTCGACAAGTGATGTTAGTATGGAATACAGGAGAATTAATCTTTGATGGTAAAACAAATTCTACTAGAACAAAAGTAAGGAAGTTAACTCCGTTAGCTCCCAGATTACGATAGCGGATGGTAAAATATTTTCCGCAGCGAAACAGTGAATCGAAATTCGAATCTTAGAGGTCTTAAAGATTTTTAAAAAGGTTAAGTTACGCACACACTCCTACATCACTTTTAGAGAACAGCTTCGTGATGCATCAGCAGTTCTTGAATCGAGATAAAAGTTTTCTGATTCTTTGGTTTCAAACTGATCAAGTTACAATAAAATGTCACTCTCCCTGCCTTTTAGACTGCCTGTTGTAAGAAATTGTTTCTTTTTACTGCTAAAACTAAAATTAAAATTTTGAAAGATTAAATGTTCTCCCCCCTTCCAGCATGTCTTCCTAGTGTAACAGTAGTACACACAGCGCGTATTCGAAAGGTCCATGTTCGAGGTCCCGGCAATACTAATGACTCGGCAGTGGAGCCTGAACTTAGAGGTGGTGGACAATAAATCGTCACCACCAGGATTTGGTGATTGGGTCCATTAATCATCACTCACCCTTTAAAAGGGGGTGTATGTAGGGTATTTTCTCACTCGTGCCAGCACGCCTTCTTGTTGTACGGTAGCACACTCGACGCGATTCGAGAGTTCTAGGTTCGAGTCACGGCGAAGACTTCTCCAACATAGAAAAACTTACTGTCCTGAAACTCTTCCTTTCTTTCGAAGCCATTTAAAATTAAGCTCGCTTTTTTATTTATTGACTTTTAAAATAATTTCGTTAATTGAAATAATCCCAAAACACAGCATTTTTAAGAAGCTATTAAATTAATCTAGATGAATGCGTAGAGCTTTTTTTATTGATTTACAGTAAAAATGATTTATTCTTAACTATGTATTATGTCACATACATTTTCATATATGGATGTTATACGTGCATGGAATTCTTATGTTACAAGTATAATATTGAGTCGTTTTTTGATCAGCCTCTTGGTGGACGTGGCTTTATTTTCTGCATAAGATGGAAATGGTACCAACCACAAATGTGCCGTCATCTTTATGCAAATCAGCCATTATTCGAGAAAATCGATACTATTATAACAGTGTCATGAAACCACAACCTTCATAAAGTTACGTATACCTTTTAATCAGGATATTCTGCGAAAATAAAATTTTATTCGTTTTGCTACTAAGTATGTCAAACTAATATCCAACTTCCGTAGCTTTGTCTCGCCATGAAAGTGCTGCACTTGCCTTGCTGCACGTATGAAGTTTGCTTCGCCCCCAAATTAAAACTGATATTTATAATTGTTCGAGCACGTGCATTCCTGGGCACCGTTATGAACTTTACCTTTTTGAACACTAGCAGAACTGCATAAAGGTGCAGTACCTTTATGATAGGGCCTGCTATGATATCATTCTGTGAGTTTCCGAATTCTTTTCATATTATTAATAGTGTAATCTAAGTTTCACATTATCAATAGTGTAACCTTCGTTAAAATGGAAAAGGTAGAAAACAAAAACGTAAAAGCTTTTTATCTGCATATAGTGTTTGACCTACATATAGAAAACAACCAAAGTATCCAGACAGTTTGGAGTCCCAGTTTATGCATGCAGTTAAGTTATGTTGTAGTACTTTTGAAACTCGCCAAAATGTTCTTCGTATGTTGCATTTATGAAAGTAACATGTTATTTAGGTATAATAAGCTTCTCTGGCATGTATAAAGAATCTTTTTGTGAATGTTTAAGTTTACGTTTTGTATGCAAATGAATGAAACTCCCAATGTCTCATCTACCTATGATTGAAATAGGATGAGAAAGATGTAAAAAGAATACAAAATATGGCATACAGACAGAAAAATGTGTGACATTTATTACATTTATTTTAAAATATTTACCTCTGATATTGTTTATAAGTTCCCAAAGTTGAATGGCTTCTCTAAATGACTGCAGACTGTCAACAGAGTAGACTAAAAGAAAACCTCTTCCTGATCGGATACTAAGCTCCCGCATAGCTGGAAAGTGATGAGACCCAGCTGTGTCTAAGATTTCCACTGTATGAGAAATACCATCTGCAAAACAATTTTAAAAAGACAGAGTGAATGAGAAACGCAAGACCATTGAACATTTTGTACTTCTGAAAGATTTTGTACTTTTACAGCAAAACGTACATTTTATTTGAATTTTGCTTTCATGCTTCAGAGTGTTCATTGACTAATTTTGTAAAATATAATGATTACGTTGAATTATTCAAATATTTTTTCTTCCAAATGTTCTTGTTTTACAATTCTTTTTATTACGCTATTAATTTATTTTGGCAAATCTGTCGAATAGAGAATGTTTTGCTTAGGCATTTAATAAAAGAAATTATCATTTTGAACTACTGTAATTAGTAACTAGTATTATGCATTATTTCAAAAATTTTTTCAGCAACAGCAATTACAATTTGAAAGATAAATTAAGGATCTTTTGAATCATCGAATGAAAAATAAGCAGATTTTTCCGGAACTAACGCAGACGTAATTTCGGCGAATAACAAAAAAAAGTAGGTTTCTGTAACAATCTTACTATATCAAATAATTGACTCATTTAGTTCATTTTTAGTTGTTCTCATATCCAATGAAACCATCGAAATAGACTCCACAATTCCAAACGATTTCCTCCTTTTGAGAAGGGGGTCTTTACGGTGTTTTAGGAGTGTGAGTAAAGGAGATGCTCAAAACCTGTGGTTATTTATTGTTCAAGATATGCTTTCAAGCTTTGATGTGAACACTACGATAAACTTCACAGCGTTTGCTATCGAAATATACAATATATAACTGCAGTTGTTTCCAGTTGAGAATTTTCGCAGGTTCAAATGAAACGAGATTGTTTCTAATCATCAAGGGCAGTTGGCTTGATTACAGTTTTACACGCGATCACGTATTTGGGTTCTTAGGTATGTCATATCTTTTTCAAAACAGTAGTTCTTTGATTAATTGCATAGTTTTAAATAATTGTTCTTTATCAAACACTTTCTTCCGAAGTTTCAGTTTTCCTCTATGTGCCTACACTTACAATATTTCAAAAGATTGTCTACTTAAAATTCTTCAGGTGATTTAATTTCTTGATTTGTTTTACAAACACAAAATGTAGTTGGAAAAGGAATACGTTAATGCTTTTACAAAGTCTTTCGAATCCTGCGATTTACCTGAAATGTATATCCATATGGTACGATTATTTATTTATTAAATATATTTCTGATCCCACAAATATATCCTTGTTACCGTATGAAGTTTCACTAAAAATTTAGGTTACCAATATTTACAGAATAAGGAATATTTCACAGAAATATTCAGAAGCATGGTACTACATTGAAACATAACACTGCCCTGAGCAAGCAGAAAGTCAAATGACTAAATTTTGAGATAAGTCTACGTATTTTCCAGTCTGCTTGAAAGTTACATCTCTTCTGTATCAGGAAATAACAATACTTGACAATCGGCTGGAATGGAAAATATGTACACTGGTACAGTAGCGTAACGTAAAAGCCTCAGAACTTGAAAAGATTGTGCTGAAGTTTTAAAATACCTATAACTCTATAATATTCTTCAGTAAAACATGAGTAATATTCTTGAGCAAAATTATTTAAAGCGCTTGATTTTGTGGACTTTTCAGTTTTAATTTGGATGTGATACTAACCATTTATGTTGAAACACAGTTGTTGAGTCATGACTTCGTAACGCCACAATATTTCAGGTACTTGCCACGTTGATCAACTCTGATGTTGATCAACTACGATAGTGCGATGTCTCACGAACAGTATGCTCTAATATAAATTAGTGTACTATATCTATATTATAAGTGTGTAACATTCAATTTGCCTGTTGTGTTTTAGTCTAAATACATGATACAACGACCCTAAGATAGGTACAAAAACATTGATTTATCTTCAGAAAGTTACTGAACGGTTATATCATGCATAATATGCATATTTATATATGCATTTTTCTTTCCCTCTTCACCTCTAAGCAACGCAAAATTCACCTAAGAATGAAGGATGTCTTAAAATGATATTGGGACTTAGGAATCAACTGCTAATTTTTCAACTGTGATTTTTTGAATCAAAATGGCTATGGATCTCCGTTTTACTTGAGTTGACATCAGTGCATTGCCTAGTAAAATCAGGTTTTAATTTCACAAAATATATTAACAAATGAATAATTTCAGTTGCTATACTTTATTGACAACGGGTTTCACAGGAAATAAGGCACTTTAATTCTCTTAATAATTTACTTATTAAGAACATAAATCCTGCAATATAATTTCAGAATCAAACTCTTTAGCTCATTAAGATAAGAGTTATCCAGTTGCTTAGCAACATCAGGTCATGCGTAAAGATATCATTTCCGCCGAATCATTTCGTGAAGAGTAAGGTAATTAGAACTGCGAAGAGGATAATTGAGATTTACTTTACAGCAAATCGATGCTTGAAGTTCCATTTCCAATTTTTTAAGTTTATAACTTTCCGGGTCTGAAGGACTTAATAAAAACATTTTTTTTAAATTTCAAGTTCCTTTTTTTACAATTTCAAATAATTATTTAGACAAAGGGAATTTTATACTCTCTTAACATATATATATGTGTGTGTGTGTGTTTAGGAAGAGAAGGAATGAGTTAATAATGATAAGATTAGATAAGAAATATTAGACACATTAGAGAGAACAATTTAAATATTAAAAATATCTAGAGATATTATTTTACGTTTAGCAATATTACTTTATAAATTCCTTTTCTGAAGAGTAAATGCATTTCTAAATAAATTAGCTTTAATAAATAAACATATATAAAAAAAAATCTGAAAGCTTTCAGATTTTACATTACGGCCAAAGGGGCGTTTTTAGTCCAAAGGGGTAATTTGCCCAGAAGAACCATTAATTTCGTTTTGGCATTTTCCGTTGATTCATCACAAACATTGTTTCACTTTTCAAATTGTTGCCATCAAATATTATCGTTCTGTATTATAGTTAAAGAAATTAAATAAAGAATCTGCATAAATGTATGTATGTTTCTGGCATTGTGATAAAACAACGCTACCTAGAGCCAGCAAATTTTGAATAACGCATTCCTCCAGCGAATATCGAAGCCCAAATTTGAAATTTGGGATCTGTTTTATTATCAGTTTCATATTTTGTAAGACTTCAATGAATGTTTTATTAACGAACTCAAAAATTTCAAAGCGAGGAATGGCAACGTTGTACAGAAAAATAATTTTTATCTTATCCAGCGCGCGAGACTGTATATCGGAAATTCTAAAGATACACTCATTTAAAAATTATTTTGCGATATTGCTATTGAATCGCAATTTATGGTTTAAGTGTGAAGAACGTGATATTTAATAAATAAAGGTAACACACAAAATGTTAAAAAACTCCCCTTTGGACGTAATTTAAAATCTGAAACTTTCCGGATTTTTTTTAACGTTTTGTGTCTTACCTTTATTTATTAAGTATAATTTTCTTTGCACTTAAACCATAAAATTCAATTTAACAGCAATATCGCAAAAATAATTTTAAAATGAGCATATCTTTAGAATTTCCGATACACAGTCTTGCGCTGGAAATAAAAGTTTTTTTCCTCCCGTACAGTGTTACAGTGTTGTTTTTGCTTGCTTTGAAATTGTTGAGTTTCTTAATCAAAAATTCGTTAAAGTATTGCAAAATACGAAATCGATAATTTCAAATTCCAGATTCCAAATTTGGGTTTCCTGGTACCCATATTTGGGTGAAAACGTACCGTCGTTTTATCAAAATGCGAGAACACGTACATATGTACATTTATGCAGATTCTTCATTATTTAATTTCTTTAAATATGATACATGGTTGTAATATTTGGTGTCAACAGTTTGAAAAGTGAACCGATATTAAAGCTTTCAACGCAAAATGCCCAAACGAAATTAATAGCCAATCTGAGGTAAAACCTTTTGTGCAAATAAGATATTTAGTTTTTTTTTTTTAAATTCCCAGACTTTTACGGAAATGTGTAAACGATTTTACATGAAATGAATAATGGAGCAGATTTAGTTGTAAAGTAATTAACTCTTATTTACTCATCCGGTTTGTACTAAGAATTATAAAAATTCCTAAGTAGTCCGAATTTTTATTTAACATTAAATTTTACATTATAAGGTATTTCTCCCGCTTTCCTAGCGTGTCTTCGTGGTGTAGGGGTTCAGCACGCTGGGCCGGTATTCTAGCGGTGCGTGATTCGATTTTCGGAGAAAACGGTTGCTATTTTTCATCTTTCCAGTTTCCAAAAATATATCTAACATCTCTACAGTGGCGCCTGAACTAAAAAAATGTTGGCTGAGGATTCTCCACACCCAGGATTTGGCGATGGGGTCCCCTAAAAGCCCCAGTCGTCCTTTAAAAATGTTAGTATATAAGGTACTTCTCCCGCTTTCCTAGCGTGACATCATGGTGTAGTGGTTCTGCACGCTGGGCCGGTGTATTCCAGAGGTCTGTGGTTCGAATCCCGGCGAAGGGGGTTACTAATTTTCATCTGTCTGGTTTTTCCAATTAACCTAGCGTCTCTACAACATTAAACTGCTTTTCGAATCATATACCTACACTGTAGTTCATTCAGCAATAGTAATGATCCTACGTCCACCAGTGATTTCAAACCAGGATCTTCTCTCCTCAAAGATGTTATGATAGCAAATAACTTATCGGAGACCGTGTGCAGCTCTAGCTTTCCTATACTTAGCTGACAGACTCGATAGTTTGATCTTCAGTAACTGGTTTGACTGTGCTGTGACCGAGTTCACATTTATACTCACATTTTTCTACTGTAAGTGTCCTTCCAAGTACAATAGGGTGCCTCTGTAATGGCATTCATTCCGATTGGGACATGACGTACCCAAACATTCCTGTTGGTGGATAGGTGCTGTTATCAGCGGAGCTATCTGTGAATGGTCACCAAGTGATATCTGCTTAAATGTGAGATTCATGTGATTAATTTGATTGAGCAGTTGACTAGCATTGACTTCCTGATCTGGGGAGTGTGTTGCTCATATACGCTTCCTATCATTTA